TCAAGTATTAAGTGGCATAAACAGTGTCATAAAAAAGTTACAATTGTGAGTTAAAACTACAGTCCAAATAGCAATTATGTATGGAAAAGATTTCTTTGCCAAATTTTTAACGTTTTTTTAAACATTTATCTGTTTAATATACAAAATAACTTCCTGAAAGGTCTTGACACTCTGTATGTTTGTATTAATGGCACTAAATTGTAACTATAGTCAAAATTAAATTAAAAATATTGTTCTTACGCTAAGCAACTAAAGACGCTGTCTTTATTTCATTCTGGAGTGTGGGAGACAGCAGAATTATAACTTAATATAGAATTTGTTTATTCTATAGCAAATTTGCTTATTAAATACAAGGTGTCATAAAAAGTAATAACTGACTGTTATGTCAATCAATTGTTCGTACAAACTCCGCATTAGAGGAGGCCTCTGAATTTATGCAGAATAATAGTATGTTTCCGCTGAACACATTATTCTTACAGCCCTTAAACTGAATAAACGTCATTAAAGGTTTAAGGTGGGCCTCTTAATCAACAACCAATTATCTTTGTGGTTTCAAAGTTAATTTGCAGTTCTTTAGAAATAAAGTACATGTGTATTTACAAATTTTATAACACCCTATATTTTCCTTTCATTTTTTGTCCTTGTAGTAACCGTATTATTATAGAACAAAAATTTCAACTTAATCTAATAATAATAACAATCACTATTACCCAAGTTATAGCCTAAAAGAGACAACTTTGTGTTAGATTCCTTCTTTGAAGTTAATTAATTCGGCATGCGGTATCGTTAGGTAGTTATTGCAGTGGTGTTTTTATTTTTATATTAATACACCAATAATACAAGCATCACTGTAATTTGGGCAACATTGTATAAATGGTAATTTTGTATTTTGTCGCTTAATGAGATATCATCTCCCTTCTCACTAACTGCCGTATCTGAACAGCGTTCAATAGCGACATTATCGAATGTTTACCATTTTTATACAGGCTTATTTCTAAAATACTAACATCTTCTTATATTACTAACATTATAAACAACAACTTTAAATAGTTTCATGACCTTTTACAAAACATAATTCAAGTTTCAGTTATGCTATCTGAGACTTTCTAGATCTGTATTTGTAGGTTCAAACGTGCACTGCATCGGAATGTTATTTACGCTAGTGCTTGCTGTTGTTACCGCACAGTTGTCACCGTTTAGCACGTGTCATTTTGATTTTTGTGTGAAAGTTAAATCTGATAAATTGTTAAGTTAAAACACTGCGATCAGTGCGATGTCTATATGTAGAATAATCGTATAGAATAACTTTATTTTTTGTTATTATTATTTTTATCTCATTGTTATTACTATTATATTAATTTCATTTCCATCAATCATTTTCGTCTTCAATTGATGTTTGTTTGCGATTTGTGTGTTATCGGCCACGTAGAGCTGCCATGACCGGGTCGGGCTGAAAATCTGGGTTGAAATCATTACAAACTGATTTCAACATTTTCCTGAGCTCGTGTCCGTTACACACATACTTTATTCTTTTGATTTAATTCCTTTTTATTTTGATTTTGTAAATTGTATAAGAAACTTATTTTTTTTTGTAAAGTATTTTTTTTATATGTGTGTGGATATAAATGGTTGTTTTAAGTCATGAAACTAAGCTGTCGTTTATGATGCCAATAATATAGTTCTGCGGGCTTGTTAGTATTTTACAAAATAACTCTGCATAATTATGAATATAGCTCATGGGTAGAATGAATTTGACACGAACTACAGCTCAAGCGGGATTACGACAGTTATACTCCGTCCAAATATTTAGGTATTTAATTATTGGCATATGCATGCCTCCGAAATTCCGGAATTGCTGACATACAATCATAGACAAAAAAATGCAATAATCCCTGGAGTCTTTTATTTTTTTATTTTAGTGAAGCGACAGAAGATTATTCAAGTTGTTAAATTTTGGTACCTGTCTATAATAATCTAAATTATAATTAAATGAAATAATTTATAAATAATTAATTCTTTATTTCAGTCAACCGTGACCATGGGACCTGTAAACGGCCCAAAACGTCGGTTTGTTTAAAAAATACGCGATTTAAATCCGCTTAAATAGTTTCATTTCCTATGTGTAATAATCGCGAAAACCTAAGAACTCGATAATTAATTCTTATTGTTTATTATAATGAATAGTCGGATTCTTCTCCATATGAACGTGAATCATCACTTCCTCATTAACATTAATTATTAATTCTTGAGTACACAAATTGTCAAACGCAACATCACGATCCCAATCAGACAATATCTTCTTTTTTGAACCCGCTCGCGAACATTCACGATTAAAATTTCTTCATAAATAAAATCTACTGTTACAAAAAATCGAATCGGAAAGGCATTAGGACATTACTAGTTGATTAGAATTCGAGCTGTCAAAAGTTAAATAAACGATTGGACGGAGTATAGGAGATAAAACAATAATTTATTTAACAACAAGAAGGACAAAAAACACTAAATGACAAAGTTGTCAAATAACATTTTACTAAAGGAAGTACACAACATTCGATAAAATTCAGATCTTCAATAGAATAAAATATAATTCGTTCACTAACTACTTCTACAAGTACATAGGTAACCGGAGTTTTGAGCTATTCAGTATTGCACTTTCCAAGTTAAGGAAGCTTATGTTATTGCCACACCGTCTCTTGATAGAACCATAGCCAACAACAACAAACAGTGGGATGTATGTAATGATATTATTACCACTAATTGAGGCTATAAAAAAACTTTTATTATTAAACATTTTTTGTACATGAAAATAGCAACCAAATATTGTAGAAAAAAATTGAATGTGGGTTACAACATTTTTATTGATAGCCTCAATTATACACGTGTCACAAAATTTGACACTTTCAAATATTATATTCATGATTTGTTTAAAAAATAAATTTGTGTTTTTATTTTCTATTTTTTCCGTGTTAAAACAACTTCTTCAACTTCTATTTGTAACTAAAGTTGCTTTCTATTTTTTATTTATTTTCATGGACACTTCAATCTATGCTTTTCACGACTGTTACTAAATTGCTGACAATGGCCCCAGACGACGCGGACACATCACCAGTGGAGATGGTCACGCTGATAAGGCCCGCGTAATAAAGAAATACGTAATTAAAAATATAGATTCAAATTTTTAAAACTTACTTTACACATAAGCTCCCTTTTAGAATAACAGCCGTTACTAATCTATGAACACTAAATAACGAACAAATAACACTTGTTCAGAATTTTTCACTATTATTTTTATACTTAAATAATAAGTGATTTAGAATCAAAATGCCATACGATACATCGCATGTTTCTGTCACATTAATTAAATTGTAGATTAAAAACAAATTGCATACATTTTGTTTTAAATTATCATTAACGGTATTCAATTCAAATAATATTATAGATATATACAAGGTGTCGCAAAATTTGAAATGCTTCTTCAAATATAACGCTGTACTATAGTATCATTGGCTAAGTAATTTTAAGCGCGAAGCCAAGGGTGTGTAGAGTTCCGATAAATCAACCAACGGAAAATAATGTTATTTGAAAACTAAAAATGATACGGTTTAAGAGTTTCACCAGAAAAGTTAACACACAAACATGTTATTGGTGTATATTATTACGTTTTTACAATATTGTCTGTGTCATTAGAAATATTGTGGGAAATACATTTTTGAACTAACAGTTGTTATATTACAACTGTTCGTATTTATAACGTGAGCACATTGAACGCGCTTTTTCTTAACACCTTGTACATTATTTATTTCGTGTTTTTCCGTCTTAAAAAAACCATTTACAAAGATTGTCACTGCAATAAAACTAAATTTGAATATAATTCAATGTAGACGACGTACTGAACAAAATAATCCCGTACAGGGATACCAATTTCAATTATTTATTAACAATATGGCTAGATCGAAGTCTAACGAGAGGAACCTCGCATTTGTTTATTTGATAAGTACATTAAAGGTACCGTTTCTAGAAAGATATAACATTTACTAACTATATTTTCAAATCCTTCCCTACAACAAGGCTTTAACGTATTTCAGTTTACTATTTTAGATGGAAAGATGGCACTATCATTACTTTTGTAAAGAAAAATAGATATGTAAATAAATTGATAGAATTTTAAAGATGTAAAGTGAGCAACCATGCGTGTAGTGAATAGGAAATTGTGTTCTATAATGAATCGTGGGAGATTTTTTCTTACATCCACGTACTTCCTTTAGAACACTATTAACCCAATAATAACAACGCCTTGTTAAAAATAGTATAAACTTTAAAAAATTTAGAAAGATATGTGCTAATTTTAAATCAACGGTACAATAAGGGCACTAGGTATTTAAACACTATTTCCTACCTTTATTATTCAGTTTCAATAAGAATTTTACCTACACACATATCATAAACCCTCTATGATGTGTTCAAAAACCTCAAATTACGACCAGCTTAGAGATAAATTGTTTTGTTAGAACAAATTTCTTATCTGTGAATATGTTATTATTGCTTCATAATAACATCGAATTCGATTTTATTATTACATTCAAATTTCGAACATCTCTGAAAAACAAAACAATTTGATTCGACCTCAATTCTAATATCAGTCGAGATGAAGTTTTATTCGAAATGAAATGTCAATAGCAAACAATTTTGACAAATCTCACATGTTACTTGATATCGAACGATATGATAGTTGGGGCCGACTCTATCGGTTTGTCTATGAATTAAAAAAAGCTACGGTCGCGTGACATGCGTGAGAAAAGTTTTTATTTGCCGCCATTTCGGCTGTCGTAACATGCGATTCCTGAACACATCATAGAGAGCTTATGTGTATTATATGTAACTGTACATAATTAGGCATTAAAACACTCGTATGGTATTTGATGAACCCACACTCAGATTTTATGCCTTTCATTACGTAACGGTTCACATTAACTACTATTTTCGATAATGATTTTGATTTGCAGGTAGTTTTATAGTTTTTGTAACAGATAATGGAATTCGTTATTTTTTAAGTCGCATTGACTTTTTTTTTTTCATTATCTTGTCATTGTCAAGGATTCCGTAGTCAACTTTGATTTAAATCGTCTAATATACATGTGTTATTTACAGTTTTATTCTTATGTAAAATAGAGTGTACATTCCGTTGTGCGATTGAAGATGTTTGTCGTGAGTTGGTATTTTGTGCTGATACACTGGTTGCCGTGATAATTATTGACAATTTTTTAATTTTAAGGTCCATTTTTGTATAAGACGTGTCTGTAAAACAATTACTTGTAGAGAGTTTGTCTATTAATTGGGATACAGTGTTGATATTTTAAAAATATCTGGTAATTTCGAAGGATATAGATGTAGACTACATCTGTTTCACAATATGAGATTACTGTTCTCGAAGTAGACGTACAGATTGAATTTCACGGATTTTTAAGTTTAAAAATATTCTATACAAGTTTTAAGTCACCAGTGTTCAGCTTGAAGGTCACAGGCATGTTGAGTTATGGAGGCAGGTTCATCTGCAAGTTCTGGAGGTATGCCGAAGTAGAGTTCAGTAACCCGATGCGCTGCTTTTGTTTTCTCTGCTGGGTCATCTGTAGATGAGAATGAGAACTAATTTTATTAAAAAATTGCTGGTGCCCGTGACTATGTCTGCGTAGGAATAAGTACATCGAATCCTATACCAATTTTCATAGTTTTATTGGTTTTCCATACAAACTTTCAACCCCCCGGAACGCAAAATACAACTACAATTTTAATAAAACTGAGTTACATACATCAGGAAATACAGGCCAATCTAACTATTTGTTTTGTGGTGATGGTGTGTATCTCAATAATTGTCAAATATACAAATAGCTTAGTCAAAATGCCCAAGTTTGCATTATGCTGGTCTGGTGCGCCTGTTGGTAAGCGACAAGCTTACCTATCGCACTGTGGGGTAACTCAACTGAATCGAATAGGGTTTTTATTCTAAAAATGTGCACTAAAAACTATAGTAGGTACAAAACAAGGTCAGTCCTGCAGAAACCTTTAAAAAAATACCATATAATCACGACGTACTCACAATACATCTATGATATAATATTTTACGGGCGTCAAAACTTGAGCACTTATGAGCGACGTACGGGCGGAGGCCGAGTGTCGCGAAACGCGGTAAAACTAAAGTCCGTTGCCCACCGTACCTAACACGCAACGAGAGATCCGCGACTAATAGGTCCCCGATTCTACAAACATCTACCCACAGACCTGAAAAGTGTTACAAACGACGAAACGTTTAATACCCGACTAAAACTCCTTTAATTTGATAATGAAATCTACAATTTCGATGAGTTCCTTTTGAAACAATTATAATTTTGTTTTACTTGACTTCATTGCATTTAGACAAGCATTATACTACTTTATTTTATATTCATTATTACGATCATATTATTCCTTGACATTGTATTGTTAATTTTAACATTATGTCTTATAAGGTTCCTGTGGGCGCACAGGTTATAGTGCCTTCTTGTACACCCTAAGAGTCGGTAGGGAGAGTCACTATAAACAAAACTAAAGTGGAAAGATACGGGGCTGTAATATTGTGACATTGATAATATGAAATAACAGTTAAGAGTGCCACTCACAGCTTTAAACCGCAAAGACCTAAAGCGCGTTGCCAATGCGCCCGTCACACTAGCTGGCGTATGCTGAATGAAGTCATTTTGCACAACCGCACAAATGACAGTAAAAAAATTGTAGTCGTTGTATTGTGTTTTGCTTTTTGTCAGTTTTGTCTTATTTTATGATTTTTTTTTTGTTTTAATGTATTTTTTATTTTGTTTATTAATTCTTTTTATTTTATTTTGCTTGTCTGTGTTATAATTTTTTTTTGTACGTGTGTATTGGCGTTGTAATAAAAGTCTATTCTATGATTTTCTAACATATAAAGTTGACAAGTCTCACGTGCCTGTAATTTCACCAGAACTCCTATCGTTCAAAACCGCAACGCAGTAATGCTCAGTGGCACTGTAACTGTTGTGGGTAAGCATGTCGCTTACCAACAGACGCACGACTTGTTCGTCCTGTATTATCCCGCTTGATATCAATTTTTATATTAACCTATTATATTTCACTGCTGGGCAAAGGTCTCCCCCAAAATCCTCCACAGCTCCCTGTCTTTGACGATCTCCCACCACTCCCTCTCAACCCCATCAAGATCGTCTCATCAACGCCTTCTCGGCCGACGCCGCCGTCTCTTTCCAACCTCGAGCACCGAAGGAGAGACGACGTTCGCCCACTTATCGGGTTGTATCCGGCTAACGTGTCCCGCCCAATCCCATTTAATCCTGGGTGTTTTGCCCACCACATCGGCAATGCCAGTCATCAGACGCAGCACTGTATTACTGGGCTTTAAACGTATTGACCGAGTACGCAATGTGTCCGTACTTTTTTTTTAATGATATAAATTATTCATATCATTAAAAAAAGTACAGACACCCTGTGTCTCTAGAACGCGTGCTAGGTTAAGTCGCGCAAGCCGCCGTCCGCATTGCCGTCGCCACTGCGCCTATGATTGTAACCTATGAGTAGCAGTAGAGCTCCTTGTGAGAGTTCATCCAGGGAAGTACTGCCACCTTACCTATTTCTACCGCCAAGCAGTAATGTCAGCATTACTGTGTTCCGGTTTTAAAGGGTACTGGTGAAATTACAAGCACATGGGACTTGTAATTTCACCAGTGTAGTTTCACCACCAACTTATGTCTCAGGGTGACGGGCGCAGTGGCAGTGCCCCTCAGATCTTTGCAATTTAAAGCTCTGTAACTGTTTTGGACGGTAACCTATCACAAATCCGACTTTTTTTCCGAAATAACGTTTGTTCGAATTTTTAATACACCGAAAACCGAATTATAACGAAACCGTTGTTCTTTCAGGATATGTTGGATGTATATCGCAAAGACAGGATTAGGTTCGGTTAGGTTAGGTTAAGTTAGTTTTAAAAGAAAAAACATTTTCCTATCAAAATTACTTTCAAGGTTATGAAAATTCAAGCAAACGTTATATCTGGAAAATGTCATTTCGAACCACTGATAGCTAACCGTTATGGACAGGCTGTAGCTTACCATCAATCGCACGACTTGTTTGTCTTGTCGTTTGTTACTTGATATTATAAAAAAGACCCTACACCCGTTTGTGCCGTACACCTTGCACCATGAGAAGTCTATATCCTGTTACCCTTTCTTGTGCGAGTGTATGGTGCACGTACCTGGTCCCGGAGGTCAGTGAGCAGCTCTGTGAGAGTGCGAACCGCCTGCTGAGCGTGGTCCAGTTGCGCCTGCAGGTTACGCAGTTCCAGCTCGCCGCCCTCGCCCTCACCGCCGCCCACCAGAGATAGCGCGCGCAGCCGTGGAAACCAGTCCAGGTTGTTGGACTAAGACACGCAAAACCACATCTCGTTACACTTACAAAAACTTTAATGGAATGAACCGAAGGTTTTATTTCGTACACAACCATAGACAAGTCATAGATGTATAGATGAAAAATAACTTCACTTTTGGACTACCATTTTTCAAATACAATTTTACGATATTATTCAAATAAATATTGTTGGAAAAAGTGATGAAATATCAAGTCGAAATCTTCGAAAGTTACTTATTCTTATATTATTATTATTTATTGAGTGGTTGGTGGAGTGGTTGTTTTAGAATTTTAACGAAACAGTTTTGTTTACTTTTTGTTGCAAATTGATTGGAACAGACTATAGTCAGGCTATGTTCCTACTTCCCTTCAAGTGGACCGTCTTGACAGCCGATGTGTGTACCATATGTGGATCAATAAAGGAATGCAAACTTACCTTAATCATGGAGTGTACATAGCTCTCGGGTCCAGTGTACTCGGTCGGATCTTTAACTCTAACGAGTACCATAAAATAAAGGTAATGCCACATATTATGCTCGCTCTTGATGTGTTCCTCGAACGAGACCGTTTTGTTGTCAAACGCAGCCCTATTCAATCCTGCGCACATAAATCAAATTGCATGAGGCGTTTGTTTTATATAAATAGTTTACAGTGAACATCGAGTATATAACAGGAAATAGAAACGAAATGTCATTAAATTTGTTTACAAAACTATGCCGCCAAATCATTACTGTGACAACTGCGCTCCGATTGGCCAGCCCGAATTTGAAACAATTGACGGGTGTTGTCAATTGTTTCACTTCAAATCGACCAGTTGACCTTGGGCTTTGCTATAATGGACGAAAATTGAAAAATTACATATTTAATTACCGATATGATTCCGTTTGTTTTGTAATTAGATGTTTTGCTGTTTTTCCCACACCACCGAATGGAACAGGCCCTCATTGTTAGAGATATTATCCTTATTACGATAAATACAGAATATTTTTGGAATATACGGAGACGTACACACAGGTCAGTTGTTGGCGCTGTACTATTTCAGTTTTCTAATTTGTGATTTCAGCGCAAACTAGGTTGATATTCAAAAGTGATATAAGGCCCGTTTGCCTGATGAGTTGCCAGTGATGGAGGGCCCATATTTCGTCTCTATTTCTGGTTATATACTCGATGACAGTGAAGAATACTTTTAGTAGCATTGAAGCTTCTAGTGAAAGAGTTCGTCCAAGGAAGTACTGCCATAGTACCTATTTCTACCGCCGAGCATTGTTTCGGTTTTGAATGGTAAAGGTGCTGGTGAAATTACAGGCTACTGGGACTTTTCAACTTATATCTCAGGGTCACGGGCGCAGTGGCAGTGCCCCTAAGATCTTTGCGAATTAAAACCCTGAGCGACACTGCAACTGTTATGGACAGGCGTATCGCTTAACACTAGGTGCACGACTTGTTCATCCCGTCATTTGGTATCGTAAAAAGAAGTTTCATTCAGAGCTTGAAATGTCAAAGATTTAAGGACCACTGTCTTTGCATACGTCACCTTGAGACATAGAATTGACAAGCCTCACGTTCCTGCACTTTTATTCTTATCCTTCAAAACAGGTGCGCAGTAATGCTCGCTTCGCTGTTTGGTAGCAGAAATAATTATGGTGGCAGTACTTCTCTGGACAAGCTCTTTCACAAGGAGCCTATTATCACCGTGATTTTGAAGTAGACTAATACCTCCTACCACATTTTTAAGTCTGTTATAATTCTAGGGTCAACAGACTAAAGCACATAAGTCAAATTCATTTGTTACTTCATAAATTTCTAACTTTATTCTAGAAGTTACTTAACTTCCAACTCTAAAAACAACACAATAAGATATATAATTATATGTTAACAAATAAAGAACTTTTTGACTTATGTGCTTTAGTCCGCCGACCCTAGAATAATTAATACCAAGATTGAAAGCAAAGAAAAATCCCTTCTATCTATCAGGACTCGAACCTGTGTCTGTGGCGTGCAGGGCGACCGCTCTATCAACTGAGCTATAGGTCGATTTGTATCTGGGGGTCTACTCTCGATCTTCGTCCGACATCCGTCCGAAACAATTGCTGTCAAATAAGTAATATTCGACAAAAGTAAAAGACAAGTATCAAGTATAATGCTTCATTCGCATCACGCTTCTTTTCATTTGGTTTATTGCTTATTTGGCAGTAATTGTTTTGGACGGATGTCGGCCGCAGATCAAGAGTAGACCCCCTGATCTAGTCAGATCGAAAGAATTTTTCTTTGTGTTCAATCTTTATATTAATAATTATAACAAAAGTATGAATCATATTTAGATGTCCAAAAGGTTGTTTGTACAAAAACAACCTACACAATAATTTAACAAAGGCATTATGAAGACAAGAAAACATTACGAAGCACGAATGACATCTTTCACACGACAAAATGGCGGCACAAAAAATGTTTTTAATCTCGTTTGTGTTACCAGTGTTGCAAAATTATTTACAACCTTATGTAATCTTTTATAAAAATATATATTGCAAAATGTGACTTATTTTAAGTTTTAACAGGTTACAACTAGAAAAGAGTTCTAAAGGTTTATTGTCGTCAAAAATAGGAAACTACCATTTAAAATGTTTCTTTTTTTTGCTCGGTTATCCTCTTTGTTTACATTCTGGACACCTAATTACGATTCGTATTATAGTGGAGTAATTTCAGTACAAATAAATTAACATCATGGTAACAAAAAAAACCAAAATATTTATCACAATCAATATTTTTTTTAAGTCGTGACATTATATATAATAAAGTACTATGAGGTCGTTACTTACCGCATATAAAACAAGTGTTTTTAAGTATGAGCTCTTTCTGCTGCTTCTCGCTACGAAGATCGGCGAAGGTGTCGATGATCACACCGAAGATGAGGTTCAACACGATGATGATCACGACGAAGAAGAATAGCAGATCGTAAACAACACGCGCGACAAACAAAGGCTCCTGAAGATTTAGAAAACGTCATTGTCAAACGAGTCTAAAAAACTACTGTTAACTAAAACTGCCATCGACTTCATTGTCACTTTTCATCAGGTGAGATGGTTGAAGTCAAATACATACTTGTTAAAAAAACATATATCTCTCGTGAGTTCCACGCAATGTAATTTGTGATTGTCTATGTGTGTGTCCATAGCTCCCCCGATAAAAAAATAAAGACGACCTCAGGGACCCAAAGATTTGGGGCGCTTGGATGAGGCGATTCCGGATTTTATTCCCAGCACGATCAATTCAGGAAAAGAAGTTTTCGGAATAGAATCTGGTCTGAGTGTTATGATTAGAGCCTTGGAGTGGATTCCGTTGCTCTGGTACTCATAGTACCTACGTATACCAGTAATTACTTATCTTGAGATCAGGTAATAGATGTGGTTGTCTGACATTAAAAAAAATAGTCATTAGGTTTCACTTGAGCGTCGTATTGTTTCGATCTACAAATTATCGTATGTATTGCAAAAATTCTGGCGAGATAAATATCAATTCAGTGTACACCCAAACTCAGGAAGGTGCTGAGATTTTTGGAGGAGCTTGGGTGGCACGAGTAGGACCCTGCGCCCTGCACCCAACACACGCAAAAAAAGCGCCTGGACGTCAAGTTGCAGACAACATCCCGTTATACCATACGATACGTATTATGTGTGTAGAAATGAGTTAAAACCCGGCTTTGGGTGATAACCTCGTTGAAACCCGGGCGGGTTGATTGTGTTTTAACCCATTGCTCGTCTCTAGAGACATTCGCGACTTCTGTGTAAGTGACGGGAAACAAGACGTGCAGGTACTAACAGAGCTTGCCGGCGCCCGGAGGGTGTCCCCGATGCCACCGCCGTTCCGTAGCCCCTGGTTGAGCGTCGTAACGATGCACATGATGAGCGAGTCGCAGCTGCGCTCACGCAGTTCGCCGCCCACCGATACGAAGCGAGACGACTTCGCACACTGCCCGTCCTCTTTCAGGTACTTCGAGGCAGGGTCGTCCGAGCACTTATCCAGGTCAAACATTGGATCGTCTGTCAAGGAAGTTCAAGGGTTATTTTCAAATAAGACTTATTCTGCCCTCCTCATCGTAACCAATGTAACTGATATTTTTTGCAAAATTGAGTTATTATCATATCTGGATTGTACAACCCCTATAAGCGGGTTTTTTATATCTTATTAAGTTTCAGTTTTATTGTTAAGAGTCGACACTACCTTAGCTCAAATTTAAATTTTTCCCTACTCCTTGTGAAAGAGTTCGTCCAGGGAAGTACTGTCGCCTTACCTATTTCTGTTTATATCTTGAAAGTTACCGAAATACAAATGAGTTAGCAAAAGTTCAATAAAGGTGCAGATTCGGAAATATAGCGATATCTGGCACTAATGAAATGGGGCCCTTTACAACATGCTGGTTTTCAGGTAGACGTATGTACACACAGGTCAGTTGTTGGCGCTGTACTATTTCAGATTTATAATTTGTGATTTCAGCGCAAACGAGTTGATATTTAAAAATGATATAAGGCCCATTTGCCTGATGAGATGTCAGGGATGGATTTCCCTTATTTCGTCTGTTTCTGGTTATATACTCGATGGCAACTGTCTACAATATTACTCATTTGGTTGTTGTAACATTTACTAATTGTAATTTTGCTAAGAAAAATTAAGTATGTTAACACATCTGTAACATAACCAGTATTTACGTTTGAAGATAAATAGGCAGTTATTTTAAATTTAAAATTATATTATATGAATTAAATTAAAATTACACAAACTTTTATTGACACGTCATAAATTCCATTTCCTGTAACATTGCAAAAAGTACAATTGACATATTTTTTTAAACAAAAATAGAATCTACATCAAACAGACCACACTTTCATTTTTTATTTTCTTTTTTATAGCGTCGTTTTCCTATTTAAATTCAATTGTTATCAGCTCATTTCGAAAAAAGCTCAAGCGCCAGTCGCCGGTATGACGTCACGACTACGCGACTAGTGACGAGAGAAAATCGATAATAAACACCAATTTGAATTTGCGAATTTTCAATCCTATGGTTGGGATAATTAAGAAACACTGTTTATAGAAAACTAGATACGAGAGATGTATTTACATTTAATAATATATTTAACAGTAAGTTGGAATGATGAACTAAAAACCTCTAAGTAGAACGCATCGAAAGCCATAAAAAAATAGTAGGCACTATGATATTTCAGTTATTACCTAAATTCTTTGTGATTTAATTTCTGTCACCACGTTTTCACTTAATACACATATAGTGAAGCAGAGATGGTCTCAATGGTGTAGGTTAATATTATCTTCGAGAAATAACCGTGTCGTATATATAAAAACAAAAGAATGTATATGGTGACAAAACATGACAACAAAGCCAAATTTTATAAAGGGCACATTTGAAAAATGTGTTCATGTGCTCATGTTGCTGACATCACTGTTTTTCTTCACCGTCAAATGAAAAGCAACCGTCCTCCCATTGGACTGCCACGGTTCCATTCATACAGGATGTTTTGCAGATGGACCGACATTGCCTGAGAGTTCTTTTCATTTGCTAACGGCCAGTACATTCCAGATACAACACAATTAATTTTGTGCTATTACAACCACAAATCAAAAGTTATTATGATGCAGAGGTGAAATTTCGTGTAATTAAATAAAAATAATAAAAAAACATTTGTATTTGATAGGGTTTTTTTATTGTTGCAGGTTAAATAAAGAAACGGGCTTTATTCGGCTGTCCGCCAGTGCTCTTTCATTTTTATAATTTTTTTTAATACTTCTGGTGACGGGACGAACAAGTCGTGCGCCTGATGGTAAGTTACACGCCAGTCCATAACAGTTGCAGTGCCACTCAGAGCTTTAAATCGCAAAGATCTGAGGGGCCTGAAATTACAAGTCCCATGTGCTAGTAATTTCACCAGCACCCTTACCCTTCAAGACCGGAACACAGTAATGTTGACATTACTGCTTGGTGGCAGAAATAGGTATTTATTATTTTATTATTTTATTCGGAGAACTTACAATATTATAATTTAAGAATATTTTCGCCGTCTATCGTCTACAATTTTTTTACCATAGAGTATACTTGTGTTACCGTAAACAAATTAGAACTTATAAATAAAGCTTCCATAACACTATTAATAAGTTAAAAAAAAAAGTGTTTCATTGTGTGTTATTATACTATAGACACATTAAGCATAGTTGTTCTTTGTGAGTGGTAAACAAAGCAATTCTCGAATCCCACAGACCGGTTGTACTATTCATGATAGGTTACTTGTTATTGGCTAGCACCAAAGTACGTACCATCGAGCGTGTCGACGGTGACGAGGAAGTGGTCGCGGAAAAACATATACCCTACGATGGAGAACATGTAGACCAGCACCAGCGCCAGTACGGCCGTCAGAAGGATGGACCGCCCGTTGCGTGTCACTGATCGCATCACATTCAGGAGGGTCTCTTCGCGGTACACAATGTCTAATAGCTGAAACAGATAATCAAACCGTCATAAATAAACTATAAGCAGAGTTTATTGATTATTATAATAACTGATTATAGCTCGTTCGCATTCCTTAATACCTACACATGGACTTTAAATTTCGACCCCTCCGACGTAAAGTATCGTATGTCGAAATTGCCAAGTTTACAGGGAAGCGTTTTAAAGTTCTGAATTCACTGAAACGAACATAACACGTGACTTTAGCATTTCTCAGTTTTATTCGGCAAAGCTCATTACTCACATAGAGTATTATAAAATCCTAGATATCGGTTAGATGATCTATGGTGACCACTCTTTCAGTGAATTCAGAACTTGAAAACGCTCCCCTGTAAACTTGGCAATTTCGACATACGATACTTTACGTAGGAGGGGTCAATTTATAGTAGTGAATTCAACTAGTAATTAATATAACAATTCTTACAAAATATTGCTAGCAAAGATAATCCAGAAACCATTGCTGGCATATTCTAAGCGCCTGCAAAAATATTATAAGCAATTACACGGAGATGATAAACTGTATTTTTAGAAGATAACTTTTGCAAAGGCGTTTTATTGTTTTTTTTAAATAACTTTTTATAGAAGCTTCCTAAAATAGTGAAAAAAAGTACGTTTAGGTAGAAATTTGGTAGTAAATAGTTATATAAAAAAAGTAAATTATATACTGCTAGAATCATGAAAAACGTAAAGTGGTAGCCAACCTGACGTCAGAATGGCTGGCCGCTTTATTTCTTTAATATTTCCGTTAGCGCTAACGTACAAAATATGTCAATAAAAGTACTAAATAGTGGAAAATAAAATAGTAGTAAATAAGGAGCACAGTTTGATTTGTATATCTCGTTTGGTCCAGCCGTCCAGACGTACACACCGCGGTGTGTGCACTGACTCTCAAAAGACGCTGAGGGTAGGTATTTATTGCAATCATGTGGTAAATATGGTGTATATTTAAAATGTTTCAGTGCATAAATATGACCCCTGGTAGGTTAACGCAACATAATAAACATTAATATTACCATAAATTCTTTAAAACAAAAGAAACGGCCAATATACAATAAAAACTCAAACATTACATTATCATTCCCATTGTTAATTTATTAATCAACAATGAGAATGATAATGCAATTGTCGCCAATTATGTCGCGATTTAGTATAAGATTTATAATATCAAGCATTAATAAATTTAGTCTGTTGTGATACCTAAGAGTAGGGAACTAACACGGCAGTACAGGCATCTCAAACGAAGGTGAGATATCAGGCATATGCTGGGAGTGCACTGGTTGGTCGGCACTACAGTTAGTAAGTTACACAACATTTATTACTAACGTAGATACAGTATTTGTTGACTAGACAGCCTGAAGATGAATCAGTAACAGAATTAGAATGAGACCGCCACTTCTACTGAAGGTATAAGGGGGCATGAAGGTGGCAGAGGAAGGGCTGTATGCGTGTGTGTGGAGGCCCTTCATAGGAATCAGAGGATCCCACGAATTCAGATCCGGAGGATCGATATGAGGTCAAGGACCTGTTAGGACAATTATAGTAGTCCTATAAAGTAGAACGGAGTTAGAAGAAGTGTACAGAAGTGTGAAGAAAGGTACTCTATTTAAAGGTTGTTGCGATAGAAAGAATGTCGCATATGTAATTTACATTATGATTGAACCTTAAGCGTGACGACAGCAATATTTGAGTTTTTATTCTTATATTTTCGAATTGAGAACCATCTCCTTTTTATTAAAAGGGAGAAGGTTCTCAATTCGACTGCATTTTAATTTTTTTGCGTGTATGTTATGCAATTATTAAAATATTTGTGAACCGATTTCGATGATTCTTCTTTTGTTGGAAAGGTAGTGGTCCCTAAAAACTATTCCACCTCTAAGGGCGGCAAATTAGGAGCTGAGTCCGGTTTATCGGATTTCAGAACGAGGCCTTTGCCCAGCATTGGGATGCTCGTAGTTATAATTATGTATCCATAATTATTGTTGCCATTTATTCATTATTGAATACATCAAATCATTATATTTTAAGAACTTAGCAATGTAATGGATTGGTTATAAAGTTCCATGCTTTTTTGTCACTAATTAACTTGAAATGTCTATGGTCATTTAAAAATAATAGTTTTACCCATTGACTTACAATTATATGGACGTCGGGTCCGCGCTAAAAAGTGTCCGAACTTATAGGGCGTTAAAATCGTATATAGAGCGTCAGTCACGCTTTAGTCTTCGTTTGTTCGACTGACAGCGAAGCAAGCAAAATTAGACAGTACTGCGATGACATTACAATTTAAATTCAACGTTTTAGCTTTTTCATATTCCTTTACATGTCACTACGTTTAAATAGGTTGACTTGGGATATTATTTTCGTGGTTTTTGTATTAGACCCGTCGTCCATTTATTTGTAAGTCAATGGTTTTACCGCGTATTTTAAGAATAGTTGGGAAAGTTTATAAGTTTATAATTAATAAAAAACCCGTAAACTTAGCGCGAGTAGAATTATTCCGGTGTTTGTACGTCTCAAGTACTGACCAGGACCGAGAAGAAGAAGGGATGGCAACAAACGCCGAGGAAGCAGAAGAGCAGGTAGATACTATGGTAGAGTAGCTCGGGATCGGTGAACACGTTGCGCGCCGACTTGGACAACGTGCCCTGGTTCCCCATGATGCTGGCAAGGTGGACGCCCTTCACTACTATCTGCAATACAAACATTATACAATACAAACGTTATTGCACACAAGAACGTTACCGCGGCCTTGTTGCTACGTAGCATTCTCTTCCAGGAAACAGAGGGATGGCAAGATAAAACTTAAAAAATAATAATCAGAGGTCGCAATGATTGGGCATAATGTACGAAACTAATAATAATCATACAGGATACACATCGCACTGCTATTGCAATAGTGTTGTAACTCAAAATATGTGAAATTCGAGATTATACTATTGTTGTACGTAAAATTTGATTCTCTACACGTCAATACAACCGGCATTAGAATATTGTGAGAAACAATTCAAAGATATCTACTTGACTCAAAATGAGAGAAACTTTCTGAGCTAGTTCTCTAAAAAACAGTCCTTACTCAAAAAGATGAAATTTTTTCCCCTTTCATTTTTAAATATATTTGGTAACTAGGACATTGTTTAGATGTCTGTTATTAAGTTAAACCTATATTTTAAAAGTTTAATATAAATTTTCGAGCGTAGTTTGCAACTGAAGGCAACCGTAGCGACCGGGTGTTTCGCCTTTGACAAAGCGAAGTAGTCTATCAAAGGTCGGCAGACGACCCGGTGTCAATGCGCCATTAACTTTGACACAATTTTATATATCGAGTTCTTAGGTTTTCGCGATTGTTACACAAAGGAAATGAAACTATTTTCCGGGTTCAAATGGCGTATATTTGTTTTTTCAAATAAACCAACGTTTCGGGCGCTTTTCAGGTCCCATGGTTACGGTTGACTGACCATGGTCATATTCATGGACTGGTCAACAGTCGCCATGGTACCTGTAAAGGGCACGAAACGTTGGCTTGTTTGAATAAACAAATCGACTCATCCGTAGAACAAAGATCTATGTGCAATACTTCTTCTCAGGACCATAGTACATTTCGTTCGTTCTTCGTCGCTGTGGATGTCAGATCGACCGTTGTTCGAGTTTATATTTCCGAAACAAAATAAGATATACACATTCTTAAAATACCTTTACATATGCCTTAGTTTGAATAACGAAATTATTCTCGTAACGTACTTATCCTCTTTTCGCTTTATAATCACATCGGGCTCTATTCTTCGGATGAGTCGAACTACGCGATTTAAATCCGGAAAAATAGTTTCATTTCCTATCAATTTCATATTTTTGATAGTTTGCACTGCGGGCGTTGGAGAGGACGAGGAGATTCTGGCGGAAAGGGCAGCGCGCACTCACGGTAAGCATGCCGAGGCACCACAAGGTGGGCTCGGGGCCCGCGCTGAAGATGAGGCGCACGATGCCGCTGGCCAGCAGTGCGCGCACGCCGGACGAGCGCGGCAGCCACGTCACCAGCGCCGCGGCCACGCACGACACGCACCATACCACTAGTGAAAGGTGTTGTCCAAGTTCTGCGCGACAACACACACGTTCAAATTCAAGCTCTTCGACACGTAGCGGATCGTCGGGGAACTAGTAATAGATTATGGTTTCCATTTAGGTACTTGAATGGTCAAATCAAACCCGTTTAAACGTGGAAATCAAATTAGCGTGATTTAAGGAGTCTGGTAACATAACTGTAGCAGCACAGTACATTTACTCAAATATTTTATATGCCCGTAAAAATATACATAATTTCAATAATAAAGAAGATATCCATAATATTAACCTGACAGTTAAGTCCAAACTCATGGTACCACGATTTCGTTTAACCAAGGTAAACGACTCTTTTATGGGGAACTGTATACGTTTTTACAATAAGATTCCGGAGCATATATTAAGTTTATCATTTCGTAAGTTTAAAAACTACATTAAAAATATTTTGATTGAAAAGTCATATTATAAAATTGAAGACTACGTGTTAGATAAAGATGTATGGAAAGACAACTCGGCTCCATAATACACACAAATTTGAATCAAAGTGTATTCCATAGCATTTAAGTTTATTTGAAAAGAGCAATTCTAAGAGTTTCTTGCTCGTTCTTCTCAGGGAAGTCAGCGTAGTGAACGAGCAGTAGCTTAAATGTGACGTTTTCAAGTGTAAATTTATTTTACCTATGGAATTAATGGTTCTTTGACTTTGACTTTGGGACCTTTTATTTATTTAAAAGCGAGATGCTTACTTGGATTTTCTCCTTTGAATGGGTAAAAGAAGGCGACTATGACATTTATGAGAACAGCAAAGTTGAAAAGGATGTTGCTCCACAGCGACATATAGGACGACACCCAGAACAGTAGAGGTTGACCTGGTAACAAATATGATTAGAGACCATACAGCATTTAATCACTAACAGAGCAGATCGATACCTTCGACGTAAAATGTGTAAAATAAAATACCATTTTTTTGCTTTTTAACTTAAACATATTCTTTTTTTATAAAGATAAAGATAAATTTATTTCAACATAACTTAATCTAATACAATACAAGTAAAACAAATGTAAATAACGCTATTATAGTATTAAAATAATCATTAAAAAGGGAATCTAAATTATACATTCTTCATAGTAAAGCTACATACAATTTAACATTAGAACCTAATGTATAATTGCGATGCCTAAACTAAGGAAATGTGTACCTATATTTTAAGCATCTTTTTGGGCAAATTTCTTTATTACAGCTTAAAAGGAGATTTTCTATATTTACCTATGCAAAAATAATTATGAAACAACTTCCAGCAAATCCTCTGTTTCATTGTAAGTAACACTCTTAAGCCACAATTTTATGTATAGTATATGCTTACAATATAAATATAAGCATAATAATAGTGATCGGAATTGAGAGAGTTAATTTAGCTAGACTAAAGAATATTGTGGATATTCGCTTCTACAAATCCCGGGACTGTGGGTTGTAATTTGGGTATGCGTATATTGAAAGTACATTGACAATAATTTGCTTCAAATTATTGTCTCAAAAAATAATATCGTAGTTGTTTCTATAAGTACTTACGTATTGAAATACTATAATAATTGTTTTTAAAATAAATTATGCATCTTCTGATTACAAAATCACTTGCCCGTGGAAGGAAACGTCACTGTTTACTCGTTTACCCACAGTTATGGTGCTTTTGCAGTTTATAATGGCACAATTATGCATCTTGCGCGTTTTCGACTGGTGTTTATCTACGATAACGGTCGAGCGCGTTCTGAAGTGTAGCAGCGGCAACTAAGTGTATTTAAATTACATTGGGCACGCGAAATGCGTACACTTGCGGCGTCTATCTAGATACCTTTCCACTAATTTGCCTTGCCGGTTAGTAAAAAAATAAAATAAAAATAAAATGCATTTATTTCGGACTACAACAAGATCCGTAAAATGTTAGTATTACAACAAAAACTTAAATGACTGTAGGCCAGTGCCTTAGCAGTCCACTGTCCCATCTGTGTGCAACAACTGTCAAGAGTTTGTGGCAGCTGGCGCGCACCCTACGCATTGGCGCGGCGCAGCGCTTGCGCAACGTTGCGTCGAAGCTGTCAACACTCGCATCCGCAAACATCGCGGACGCACTACAGTGGTTGTACTGTACACGCATTGCATTTAGTGACTTTTGTGTGTACCTGCACTATAAACTACAGATATATATCGATGTGTAGTAAGCTTTAAATAAAGTCACTTTTACCAGAGCCGTACATCGATTATTGCTTGTTGATTGATGCGCTATCATATTAGCTCTCATGGCTAATGCTCTACGTAGTAAAGAAACTTATTATAACACTGGCTGTAGTGTAGACGGACGTTGCTAATTTCGCACTTTTCGCTAGATTGGCTCAATGGCTTTGTTGAATAGCTGGTCAATTGACCTCGCGTAAATGGGCCAATACCTTTCAAGAATGGACACAGCAATGCTCACATTACTGCTTGGCGGCAGAAATAGGTGGCGGTATTCCACTGGATGAACTCTTTCACAAGAAGCTCTACTGCTACTATTTGGTTTGAGGTGTTGATTTCCCAGCGAATACTTACCGCGAAGTTTCTTCTGCCATTTCATTTCGTGGAACAAGTTGTCAAGCCTGGCGAAGAAGTCGGCTACCTTGCTGCCCTGGTCGTCTCTCTCTGCGCTTTGCAGTACTCTGTGCTTACTATCCGACGGCAGATACTCGCAGATCTCCGGGATCGGGAACACTATTTGTTCCATACTGCGGTCTGTTCGTACTATCTGCGAAGAATTGGAAGGATTTTTTTAAGGCTCCTTTTTTTGACTAGACATGTTATTGATTTAATAATAATAACGCAGACACGTGTAGCCCCGCACTAGGGAAACTCTGACAATCACTAATTACACACAAACTCACGAGATAAATAAATATGGGCCATCGACTGTGAACTGGCAATCGGTACTATCTCAATTTTGACAACTTTACAGGATGAAGAAAATAATTGTTTGCGTCATTTATATAGCGTCTGGTTTATTAAATAAAAATACGTAGTTTTTTAATATTTTTATTACACATGTATATATGTACACTACGTATTTTTATTTAATAAACCAGATGCTATATAAATGATTTTTACTTCACCTGTAAAGTTGTCAAAATTGAGATAGTTCCGGTTGCCAGTTCACAGTCGCCATATCAATTTTTCTCCCGGCCCTGGAATCGAACCCGGGACCTCTGCGTGGTAGTCCAGGATGGTAACCGTTCGGCCACGGTGGCAGTATTCATTATCATAGAAGTCGTAAGTAATAACGTGGAAAACCAATAACGTTGGGAGAGCGATAGTTCCGGTTTGGCGAAGTCGCTGGTTCGAGGTCGAACGGATCGAAGGATTTTTTCGTTGTGTTTATGCGAATTTTGTAACAATAATAACAATATTTTTTACTCCTTAGGGATTAAAGGACGCACTTTACTCCCGCTACGTAAGGCTATAATGACGTATTTTCAGAGCGTGAGAAGTTAACTTACTTCTATCTGCGCCGTGTGAGTACGGTAGTACTGTAGCGGGCCGGCGTTCGGCCCGTCTTGAGTGGAGCGCACCAGGGACGCCAGCTCTTTGTTGTGCGTCGCCAGCTGGTGGCAGAGTATATAGATGTTGTGGCCCACCTAGAACATAGTGCACCGCACAAATTCATAATGAGTTAAACCAAGGAAGAAAAACAACAATGCAATTCCCTTCAGACTCGATTGCAAAGAGAACCGCAGTCGCCCAAACTCAATTTTTATTCCCATTCTTAATTTGAAACATTACAAAATCTTAATATTGATTGGTCGTACTTTCAAATTTAAAAAGAAATAACAAATTCTGTATTCTTAATATAATTGAAACTTTACCTTGTTGGCATATCGTTGAAGGTTCTAATACCAGCAATACCTATTATACAAGTTATGACGCTTTGATATTCTACCGAAATTTCAATCAATGTGCTGCCATCTAGCGGTTTATTGCTGAATGACTATGAATTGGAGTTATTCATTTAATTCTTCAAAAAAGAAGCGGCGGACTGAGCTCAGATAAGTCTTTCGAGACCTATAGTAGGCACGCGTCAGACGCTAACTAACCACTTCTACTGTATTTATTGTTCTGCGAGTTAAACAATACTGGACTGTGTAAGGTGCGTAGTCGTTATGGCCGTATTAATAACTATATCTCAGATCGATCATTCTCAATTAAATTAACTGTCTTTAAAGCACACTCATACACAGACGATTCTTTATTTCGATCGATCGTCACAATAATAGTATCGATCCGTAGCTACACCCTTGACGGTCAAACTTGACCTCGATAGTAATATCATGGAGTATCAATTCATACAAATTAACTTCAGTATAAGTAACATTGTACATGGCGACACTTGGATAAAAAAAAAAAGAAAATATTAAATCTCGAAAATAAGAAGTATAAAATATAAAAAACGAAATGCAAAACTATATAAATAAACAATTACGCGAATGTTGAATTTAAAAATCATTTACAATTGTGAAAACATTTAACTGCCGTTGAAAATATAACAAAACGAAGGTTCCTAATAGAACTGGTTTGTTAGTTTGCAACCACTCAAAATTAAGTAACATTTTAGCACTGACTTTTATTGCAAAATATGAAAAGTTAACTGATTCAGCTTCTTTGGGATTTTATTATATTTATTTATTTATTTTATTTATTTATACATTTTAGGAAAATTCACGGACAAATAATACAATTATAGTATACTTAAATATCAGTAATCCAATGCCATTTACGAATTTCCACCAACATGAAACAATATAAAGTACTTAGCACGCCAAAAAGAGATTACAGGAGTATACAAAGAACGCCGTCAATAAAATTAAAAAATAAAATAAAAATTACTATTAATATACAATTAAACCTTAGAGGATGGTAAAAAAAAGTCTATGAATTAAACGAACAAACCAGTGTACTCGTCGCCAATCACGTGACGTATCAAAGTGACGTTTAGTCATTTCACGCCTGACTGTGTCTATGCTTGAACAAAACAAATCAAACTCAGAATGATTTACTGTCGCATTGTTATAAAGTCTCAAAGCACGCACCTGTATATGCTATTGCATATATAGTCACCACCTGAACAAGAGCAATAACTTTGACAGTAATGTAATAGCTGCCATCTGTTGGCTTTTTCGAATATTATTACAATTGGGAATCCAAATAACCGTCTGAATAAGCGGAGTTACGAATGCGCACATTGAATATATAAGAAATAGAGACGACATGTAATTTAATGTGTTTGCAAACTATTCTGCCAAATTATTACTATGACAATTGCGCTCCCATTGGCCAGTCCAAATTAAACAATTAACGGGTGTCGTCAATTGTTTGACTTCAAATTTATTTATTTATTTAAATGAGCAGTTTAACTTGAGCTTTGCTATAACGGAGGAAATTTGCAAAATTACATATTTAACATTTGATTACCGATGAAAAGTGAGACCGCTTGTTTTGTAATTAGATGTTTCACTGTTTTTCCCATACCACCGAATGGGACAGCCCCCATCGTTAGAGATATTATCTTTATTACAATAAATACAGAATATTTTTGGAATATACGGAGACGTACACGCAGGTCAGTTGTTGGCGCTGAACTATTTCAGTTTTCTAATTTGTGATTTCAGCGCAAACGCGAGATGATATTTAAAAATGATAAGGCCAATTTGCCTGATGACTTGTCAGGGATGGATGCTCTTATATCGTCTCTATCTCTAGTTATATACTCGATGCCAATGCGACATTTCTTTGTATGAGATTGTGTGTCTGTACTAGTATAGTATTACATTATCAGTGGTAATATGTTTCAACGACGGATTC